GCCCAAGGCTACACTAAGGCCCCAATTTGTGCTGCCATTATACCATCATATCCTACTACTTAATACTGTGCCATTACTGGTCTGTCCCCTTGTCTAGGCCATAAACATATGGAGGACAAGGATAGAACCACATCCATTCTTACATCCTCAGTGACTGGGACAAACAATCAGTCATTAATTATTGAGTAAATGAATAGATTCTGACTTACAATACCTTCTATGACTTTTTAACACATTTTCCCTGATAAATCAACTTAATTCTGGTTAATATTAAAATATACTGGCACCTAATCCTATCCCAGCTGAGGGTGGAAAAAAAATTTTCCTCTTATAATGGAAATAGTTGATTAAAAAAAAAAGCATGTTGTACCGTTGCCTACCTCACAAGTGCAAGGTCCTGAGTTCGATCCCCGGTACCAAAAAAAAAAAAAAAAAAAGAGCATGTTACACAATATCAACTCAGGAGTCATTGTCACGCCAGCTGCTCTTCTTTGAAGTAAGGCAGCAGCCTGTGCTTTTCAAACCATGTCAGGGAGAGGTGATGACGGACTTCTGCATTGTTCTCTTCATGTCCTCCCCACCAATCCTGTATTCTCCTCTCTACCTTGATTTTAGCTTGTTCCTTTTCTTATTATTTTTCCCTTCCTCACTTTCTATGCTTTTCCTTTTACTTTCCTTTGCCGTCTTTTGCATACCTTATTTCAGACAGAAGTGGGGACATGGGTTTTGGGTTTTTGGTTTTTTGGATACCGGGATCAAACTCGGGCACTTGCACTTGCAAGGCAGGCAGCAGAAACACTAAGCCAAATCCCTGGCCCTCATGGGTTTTGCTTTGTTCAATGGCCAAGGATGTTGCTGTATCTCTGGTTACTTCTGCAAACTACACCAATGTATTCCTTTTGTTTCTCAGGAAGCTAGTAAGTGACCTTCTAACAGTAATACGGTAGTGCAGGACATGAAGACAACTTGTTACTATCTACAAAATGGTTTAAAAATGTTTCTAGGCTGTAGTAGCCTAGAATGTAATAGGAAAAAAGCCCCCTTGATTTACTATTATTTTATTTTTTTTTGTTTTTCAGTATCAGGGATCGAACTCAGGACCTCGTGCTTATGAGACAGGCACAGCACCACTGAGCTAAATCCCTGGCCCAATTTACTATTACTATTTTTTTATTTTGGTTTTTTGAGACAGGGTCTCACTATGTAGAGATTGACCTGGAACTCACTATGTAGTCCAGGATGGTCTCGAACTCACAGTGATCCTCCTGCCTCAGCCTCCCAAGTGCTAGAATTAGAGGCATGCACCACCACGCCTGGCTACTATTATTTTAAATAATAGAGAAATAGGTAGAGCCAGGGATTTAGCTCAGTGGTACTATGCCTGCCTTGCAAGCACAAGATCCTAAATTCAATCCCCGGTTTAAAAAAAAAAAATTAAGAAATAGGTATAAAAATCTGAAAGGGGAGGGAAAAAGTGAAGCCATATTTTCTAAAAACTTCTGCAGATTAGTAGGGCAAATTTAAATAGCTATATTGTACTTCTGTGCTAGATAGATTAGAGAAAAGAAATGCAGTCCCTACTTCTGGGAACTTATGAGTCTCACTGAGGAGTCATCCCCACTCCATCCCAAACTCATTAATGAAAACATCAGAGAACAAGGGAGAAGAGATTCTCTTAAGCTAAGAAAGCAGCCTCAGGTAAATGGAATATATGTCAGGAATAGAAAAACAAACACTGGCTAGGAGGCATTTTAAATTTAAAGTATACCAGGGTTGGTGGCACACACCTGTGATCCCAGCACTCAGGAGCCTGAGGCAGGAAGATCGCTCAGTTTGAAGCCAGGCTGAACTACATAGTGAGTTCAAGGACAGCCTGAATCACATAGCAGGGCCTTGTCTCCAAAACACAAAAAAACAAAACAAAAGTTTAGGAAAAAGTCATTCCACATGTCAAGGTCCATGCCACAACCATCAGAAGTCCAGGAAAGAAAGGATTTAAAACGAGGAATCAAGGGCTGGATATTAAGACCAGTGGTTCCCAGTTCGATCGCAGGTACCCAAAAAACAAAAAACTAGGAAACAAAAGACCTAGCCCAGGTCCTGACAAACTCTGTAACCTTGGGCAAGTCACATTGCTCCTCTCACCCAATATGGTTCTTCTGTAAACTGGTGATAATAACTCACTGGCAAAATTGCCTGAGATGGGACCAGGGACTTAGTTCAGTGGCACCGCACCTACCTTGCAAGCATAATGTCCTGAGTTTGATCCCTAGTACCGAAAAAAAAAATTTGTCTGAGATGATTAAACAAGTAATGTAAAATCACTTTGGAAGGTTTTACATAACATACCAGTGTAACATAACAGGAAACAAAAAAATCATTCCTCTGAATGAAATGTGAATCCAGTGGTTCAATTTCCAAAGTCTAAGCCTGACTCACCTTTCCAGTCTTGTTACACCCCTTCACCAACCTGTGGTCACTTGAATGGGAGAAGAGTCATGTGTGAGGCTCTAGGGGTGGGGTGGTGACTACCCAGTCTACTGTTCCATATCCCAGGGGCTTCATCCATAAAATGAGTGGTATGGAATTCATAAGATAGTGTAGTCTGTTCCTTGCGCCTGCCTCGCAAGCTCAAGGACCTGAGCTCGAGCCCCGGTATCAAAAAAAAAGTGCAGTCTGAGGAAAGGAGTAAGAATTTGTCAAAAGTGAATAAAATGTTTATATGACCCCACTCCCCAGGAATAAACAACCAAGGTCATAAAAGAGTATTACTCTCAGGGGCCGGGGATTTAGCTCAGTGGTTCTGCCACCTGCCTCTCAAGTGCAAGGACCCCAGTCCAATACCCGGTAGCCGCCCCCGCTAAAATAAAAAACAAATAAAAAACAGTATTACTTTCTAGATGAAATAGGGGAGGACTTAAAGATAATGTAATTATTTTGTTTTACAGATGGGAAAACTGAGGCCCAGATAGATAAATTATAGAAGTCCCACAATTAGTCACAGGGCTGGGGTTAGGGACTTGGATTCCAAAGTCTACAGCCCTCTCTGCCACATTACAATATTACCTAAGGCACTTGTAACCTGTACAGCACATTTCAACACCAAGAAACATCACTATACAAATTATTCAGCAGCAAAATGTGGACCACTGAAGGAGGAAAATAGGATTCCAAGGTAAGAAAAGAGGCTGAAAGCTGGGGAAGCTGGGAAAGGGAAGACTTCTCTATGGAACTGTACTGAGTCCTGGAGGTTCTCAGGTAAGAGGAAATCAAGGAAATAACAGGCACAAAACAACTACAATAGTCAAGCTTGAGGGAGGGAATGGAATAAAATTAAATTTTTTTAAAAAGAAATGAAAAAAAGTCAATTAAAATTTTAAAAAACCACAGCTGGGGATTTAGCTCAATGGTTCTGCTGCCTGCCTTGTAAGTACAAGGTCCTGAGTTTGATCCCAGGTACCAAAATAAATTATGAAATAAATAAAATAGACCTGATGTGTAAAATTTTCTTTAAATAGGTAAAAAAAAAAGTAGCAAATTTAGAGAACTAGAATGCTTTGAATGAGGGTACCTCTCAATTGTATGCAACTGAGTCCTCGTGTCCTTTTTAAGATTTATTAATATTTTTAAGTCTCTATTTTATTCTATGAGGAGGGCCTCTGCAGAGACCACATCTAGCTTAGTTGTTAAGTATGCAGTCTCTGGATTCAGATTGCCTACAATCAAATCCTTACTTTACCACTTGTGATTTCAAATTCCTTCACCTATCTGTACTTACATAAAAATCTCATTTCAGAAGATTGAGTACGGATTAAATGCATATATTTCTCACAACCTACTAACTGATTTTCTAATCAGTTAAAATGGCCCCCTTTTCCTATTAACATAGAGAAGCAGGGCCAGGGATTTAGCTCAGTGGTTCTGCCGCCTGCCTCACAAGCACAAGGACCGGATCCCCAGAACCCAAAAAAAAAGTGAACAGAAAATTCCAGAGTACACTGCATGTAGTAATAAATTTTACAAAAATGTTATATGAATGTATGTCTGAGTCATAATGTAAAATTTATTTCTTACAGTAGCTTGCTTTAAAAAATGTGAGAGCCCCTGAATTAAATTATCAACTAAGCTTTACAACAGTCCTACCATACTCGAAGCATTTAGGGCTATAATGCCATCCATCTTATGTACATATCTATTAAAACTGTTTTCAGAATTATATAAAATAATGTGAAAGCACTTTTTACATTCATAATATGAATGTAAGTTAAGAGAAAAAGCCCCTCTGTCCATCTCTGATATCATCCACACAAGTACAGCTGTTAAAGTACATATGTCATCATACTAATTATCCATAACATTCAAGAGTCCAGACTATGATTTTTCTAACACTGTCATACTCTGTCGGTATTTACAGAGACATGGAGCCTAAACAAAGTAAAATAATTTATTTTTTCTAGTTAGGGGAGTGGGGTGCAGGAATCAAGTACATGAATAGCTGAAAGAAGCAATGAGTCATATAGAGAGAGCACTGTTCACTCCCCAAAGAGCCAGGTAGTCTCAAATGAGCCACAGATAAAGCCAGAATGACAGATACCCGAGCCTTTGGTCTAGGCTGAATCATTTCCACCTCCCTATCTTCATCCAGAAACCCCATAAAGTAATATTTCAGCTCATTCAGGTGTTGTATCAGGAAAAAGATGGAAGTTTCCAGATACAAATGGTGCTGACTACACAACAAAGGGTTGTGTAATTCCCTAGGGGCTCATCTAACCACAGAAAGGGGGGGGGGCAACAATCTAAAATCCTAGCAGAGCGTGGTGGCACACAGGCCTGTAATCCCAGCACTCAGAAAGCTGAGGCAGGAAGATCACTGAGAGTTGGAGACCATCCTAGGATACACAGTGAGTTCCAGGAAACTACACAGTGAGACACTGTCTCAAAACAAACAAAAAAATAAAATAAAATCCTAATTTACAAAATCATCTGAAAAACAAGCTCACCAGCAAGGAAATGAGAAGTTCTGGATTCCGCTCCCAACACTGTTACCTTGAATTAGTCACCTCATCTCTCTAGGTTTAAATTCTTCCTCTGTTTAAAAAAAAAAAAAAAAAAAAATCAGATATACTTCCCCTGAGGACGGGGCAAAAATTTTAAAATACTATGCAGGGTAACACCTAGAATAAGATCTTTCTCTTCTAGACCATAAAAGTGAGCATCAATTGTGGTCAACTACAGGTCACTGGCCTGTTAAAGTCATAGGTATGCTAGGCCTCTTCGTATTAGCCAAGTTTTTTAGAAGACTGCATAAAAAACTGTTATCTTGCTATCTCCAACAACAGCTTCTACCTGAGGCCTGAGAAAGCAATAATTTCCCATGTCATTCCTTAAATTACTAAGCACGTTGGTACGGGGGGGGGGGCAAAAACTTTCCCTTAGAACTGTTCCCCAGTATTCATTATTAAATTTGAAAAGAACAAGGGCAGGGGATTTGCTTCAGTGGTTCTGCTGCCTGCCTCGAAAGTGCAAGGGCCAGAGTTTCTGGTACCAAAACAAAAAAAAAATTTTTTTAAAGAGCAAGAGGTCAATATTGAGCCTGCATTTTACACTTTTTCAAACTTTTGTTACAAATTAAGGGAAGCAAGAAAGCATCAAACTTCTTGGGCGAGCTTCGGCCCAGGATGCCAAGTTTTATCCTGGAAGGATCATGAAACCCGCGGTGTGGGAGTAGGCAGGAAGGGGAGCGTTCTAGAGCTTTTGGGTCGACCTCAATTTCTCGTTGGCTACGTATCCAGGCCACATGCCGCCATTTTGTGCTCAATAAACATGGCGGCCACCCCCGCGGAGAAAGGGGGGGGTCAGGCGAGCGCCACGTTAGTCGCTCTCTACGGGATTTTAAAACACCTTGCTCGCACGACCTTAGTCCAAGGAGGGAAGGAAAGGGGCAAAAATCCCAACTTCCTTGGCAGTGTCTCGAGCGGCATTTCCTAGCGGGAAGAAAACGGCCGGAAAGGCTGTCCAAGATGGCGGGTCCGCCCCCGGAAAGAGTGGGGCGCGGCGGCTGCGCCAAGAGCGAGTAGGCCCGAAAAGCAGTAGACCTCGCTGGGAAACCTGCAGTAACCCCCAAAACCCTACTCGGCACTGCCGTGAATGATGTCTCCACAGAAACACACTATTGTTCAAATGTCTGACAAGACTGCGGAGGTTAAAGCAACATTACGGGAAGGAGGTGGGGTTTCTGTAGGTTTAACCGAAAAGAAACCCGCAAAATGCAAACAAAGCATTATGTAAATGGACGCCATTCTTCTCATGGCGGTGTTTCCAACACTTTGCAAAACCAGCCGAGCCGCGACGACTCCGACGGTGGCGGGGCTGGGGGTGGGTT